TTTCCCATTTTACATAATGCAAAAAAACAAAACAAAAAATGTCAAAGAATATTTTCTTTCTAGCTTCTTTTCTGAATTTTTCCAACTTTCTGCAAACAAGAAAAAAAACATATGAAAAGTTAGATTTATGACCTTAATTGTTCTCAGACTTTTCTCGCTGGGCTTCCTTTAGTTTTATTAAAATGTTTTTTGCAGCCCCTAAAGGCTGATTTATACTTTGAAACTAGGTTGTCTACGTAGGTGTCGCAGTGAACAAAAAGACGTCCCCTCTGCAGACACTCTGCTGCACCTCTCCCAAACTGTAGGTGACCGCAGACAGGAGACTGGCTTGTTTTGTTTTTATGACCGCAATTGCGGAAAACCACTTGTGAAGTTGGACTAGCTAGAAGAGCGAGGTGCACAAGAACGCTGGGGCCCTTTTTCCGCCTGGATCTCCGCTCTTTTTCCCGCTCATGTCCCTCCGTTGTCAGAGAGACTTGTCCCCGCTTCCTCACCGCCTCCGCCGTATCTAGACCCACAGCGTATAGCGCACACCACGCTTCAATATTGAGCATAAAACAAAAATATCTGCGACAAGCTCACTGCGACGCACTGCTGTGGGGAGTATAACCAGCCCTTAATACCCCACCAACCTTTTTTAAAGGAACAGTGTGTACGGTTTACCCCCATCTAGTGGTGCACCAGGTGAATTACAGGCACAGTAGCTTCTTTCAGCATTGTCAAATCAGCTGAAATAGATGATAAAACGTGAAACATTGCTCTGAAAACAACTAAAAGAAGCCTACACTTGTCAGCTGTCTGACTCCTATGCAAAATGATAGCAGCTGATAACTGCTGTAATTGAGCTCATCCAGTGTAGGAAACAAACAAATAAGCCATCTCTGCCAGGGGAAAGACTAGTTGCTGGACTACACTGTCCTGTTTCTAACAGAACACCTAATTAAGCCTCACTGTTAAATCAAATTACCTTTCCTGTCCTGCAGAAAGCCTGTAACCTCCATGTTTTTAAGCTCCACTCCCTGGTAGTGTCTCTACCTGATAAAACCGCTGTAGACTCTCGTTTAAAAAAGGTTATTACTTTTTTTTCTTTGGTTTGTTTCTCTTGTTTTTAACTGAACAAGAGTACAGATAGTCCTCATTGTGACAGAAGGCACAATGATCTATGTTTTTCTTTGCTTTTCTTAAACTTCTGAAACAACAAAACATTTACAGATACTGATAAATCTCGCAAGGCTGACAAGTTTGTCCCCTTATGGCTACTTTGTTCGAAAAAGGTGAAGCATCATGACGTTTCACAATAAGTAGTCCATCCTCTATGCATTTATAAACTACTAATCCTAAACTATTAGACCGCTTTCATTGTTTAACTCAACTTTATTTATAAAGCCCCGTAAAACAACCACAGGTGCCCCAATGTGCTCTACATATCAGGTAAAGTTATAACATAGAATTTAAAGAAAGAAAATAAATTAATTAAAACCATATAAAAACCAATAAAACAAACCACAAATGCAAAAACAGAAAGCTTCATGCTGTTTTCAAAGCCAAAGGATAAAAAAGGTTTTTAGACGAGTTTTGAAAATAAGTGATATTATTGGAGTTTATCAGAATATAAGCAGTTCTTGATTTTTCCTATTTAAGCCCCAAATCTGTTACACAATTAAACTGCTAAATACATCTTGCTATAAAATAAACTACAATCTCTTTTAAATAAAAGAAATACTGCTTTCAAAGTTCAATTATAGTCCTATTTATATTTTTATTTTACTGTGTAACCAAATTAAACAATGCTTTTATTTATTTGCTTCTAAAAATCACATTTTTTCAATTACGTTTTAATCATGCCACCCCTGCAATACACTGAATCTCCCCTAGGGGGTGCCCTAGGGGAAATCGTACCTTATAATGATTTAATATTAGAATAGTTAGTTCTCAAAGCAGCTGAAAGCCAATACCTAAAAAAAAAAAATAAATAAAAAAATTTGATGCATTTTATCAGGGTTAGCAGTAAAATTATCTTTAAAAAAACAGCCTCAGTGACGATTAATAATATATTTAGCAATTAAACTTTATAAAAGCATCTTTTCAAAGTGTTTAAGCCATAAAAACAGTCAAGTTGCTTGTGAACATTCCTGAGGGACAGACTCTGACGCTCTAGTAATAGAAATGGAACCAGCAGAGCAGAACCACAGGAGGTGGGGTTTAAACATCTGCTTCATTATTCTCGCCTTACCTTCCTTTCAAAACAGTCATAATGGACAGATTCAAATGTTCAAAGTTTAGATGATCTCACACTTCTTCTCTTAGTCTATGGTTACATAAATTAAACATCACCACTACATCAATCTCTCGACCCCCAAAGCTGGCCTTTAGCTGATCAGCTGATGGTGGGCACGCTTGGAGAGTCGGGGGAACAAACGGAGGCGGGTTGACTTTAACCCCCCTGGGAGTACTTAGTTTGGCTCAGAGGAGTAATCGCAGCGTTCTTGTACTCTTAAGCAAGGTGTTATTTATAGCGTTGGTTGACACACAAAGAAAAAATGAAATAAAGATTAATATATTAAACAATGTCGTGAACAGAGATTCTAATATAAAGGTAATACATCTTAATAGTGAGAAATATGTGAGGTTGCAGATGTTTGTCCCTCAGTTTTGTTCTGGTCTGTTGGGTCTTATTTGCAGTCAGCGTAACTGCAACCTTTAGCTCTTCATCTAAACTTTAACAAAAGCCGCAATATGAGTTGTTGACTAATTTATTACCCTATACTCAGGTCTGAGGAACGGCGGGGGCTGAAATGTTCACGTGTCACCTGGAAGGAATGTCATACATGAATAGGAAACGGCTTCAGATCAGATCAGGACTCTGGCTACGTTCACACCGCAACCTGAAGTGACCTAAATCTGATTTATTTATTTTTTTATGCAACCTGGATCTGATCTTTTCATGGCAATCTGAACAACACAGATACGATTTTTTTCCAATCCAACCCAGGCCACTTGGCTATGTGGTCCTGGATCCCATACGAATCTGATGTTTTCAAATTTGACATGTGTCTGAATGGCCAGGTCCCATTCATCCGACCTTAACGCCTTTAGTAACCGACATAGGTCACTATTCTGCTTCTTGCTGCACAGAAGCAGCAAGAAAAACAAACATCATGGCGGACGATGATGCAGAGAGCAGTATTTTTTTAACCATCTTGAAAAGATTGAGGTTAAGGGTTTAGAAAGATCGCTAGATGCGCTCCAGCACTACATCCATGTTTACTTCCGTAAACATGCTGGCTTGTGACGTCGTTACGTCCTCTGCTGCGCATGTGGGACACTTGGGTTGTATGAATGCAGTTCACACAGGAAATAACATATAAGTCGCATACATTTGGAAATATGAACAGCAACAAAAATCGGAATTGAGCATCAAGGCCTGCAGTGTGAACGTAGCCAGAAAGTCTGCATCTACAGCCTACAGACCA